TGAACAACTCAATCCAAAAATGGGCAGAAGACCTAAACAAGCAATTCTTCAAGGAAGACATACAAATGATCAATAGGCACATGAAAAAATGCTCAATATCACTAATTATTAGAGAAATGCAAATCAAAACTACAATGAGGTATCACCTCACACCAGTCAGAATGGCCATCATTCAAAAATCCACAAATGACAAATGCTAGAGAGGCTGTGGAGAAAGGGGAACCCTCCTACACTGCTGGTGGGAATGCAGTTTGGTGCAGCCACTGTGGAAAACAGTATGGAGATTCCTCAAAAGACTAGGAATAGACTTACCATATAACACAGGAATCCCGCTCCTGGGCATATATCCAGAAGGAACCCTACTTCAGGATGACACTTGCACCCCAATGTTCATAGCAGCACTATTTACAATAGCCAAGACATGGAGACAGCCTAAATGTTCATCAACGGATGACTGGATAAAGAAGAGGTGGTATATTTATACAATAGAATACTACTCAGCCATAAAAACCGACAACATAACGTCATTTGCAGCAACATGGATGCTCCTGGAGAATGTTATTCTGAGTGAAGCAAGCCAGAAAGAGAAAGAAAAATACCATACGAGATCATTCATATGTGGAATCTAAAAAAACAAAAACAAAAACAAACAAAGCATAAATACAAAACAGAAACAGACTCATAGACATAGAATACAAACTTGTGGTTGCCAAGGGGGCGGAGGGTGGGAAGGGATAGATGGGATTTCAAAATTGTAGAATAGATAAACAAGATTATACTCTATAACACAGGGAAATATACACAAGATCTTATGGTAGCTCACAGAGAAAAAAATGTGACAATGAATATACATATGTTCATGTATAACTGAAAAATTGTGCTCTACACTGGAATTTGACACAACATTGTAAAATGATTATAAATCAATAAAAAATGTTAAAAAAAAAAAGTCCATAGGTGATAAATGCTGAAGAGGGTGTGAAGAAAAGGAAACCCTCTTACACTGTTGGTGGGAATGTAATTGGGTGCAGCCATTATGGAAAATAGTATGAGAATTTCTTTAAAAACTAAAAATAGACTGTCGTTATGATCCAGCAATCCTATTCCTGGGCATATATCCATAAAATACTCCAATTCAAAAGATACATGCACCCCAATGTTCATAGCAGTATTATTTACAATAGCCAAGTCACGGAAACAACCTAAATGTTCATTAACAGATGAATGGATTAAGAAGTCATGGTATATATACACAATGGAATACTACTCAGCCATTAAAAATATAAAATAATGCCATTTGTAGCAACATGGAAGGACCTGGAGATTGTCATAGTAAGCGAAGTAAGCCAGAAAGAGAAAGATGAATATCATATGATATCACTTACATATGGAATTGAGAAAAGTTGCATACATGAACATATTTACAAAACAGAAACAAACTCACATAGAGAACAAGTTTATGGTTAGGAGTCAGGTTTTGGTGGGTGGAGAGATAAATTTGGAGTTTGGGATTTGCAGATACCAACTACTATATATAACATCAATAAATAAGGTTCTACTGTATAGCACAGGCAACTATGTTCATTATCTTGTAATAGCTTATAATGGAAAATAATATGAAAAGGAATATGTATGCAATGTAATGTATGTATAACTGAACCACTATGTTATGCACCAGAAATTAACAAAACATTGTAAACTGACTATACTTCAATTAAAAAAAAAAAAGAAAAAAAGAGAAAATCTCAGGAGGCTTATGGATGTCCCTGGTGTGAGAGTGAATGGAATAAAATGAACTCACTGGAAAAATTCTAGCATGGAATTTTCACTAGGAACCCATAGTTATGAATCTGAAAAGAAACCAAAATTTTAAGTTTGGGTCTGGACTTTAACTTTCTATAATGCCTTTTCTGTGTGTGTCTCGGCACAAAGACTTTGAATGTCTATGTCTCCTGCTTTGATAGAGTTGGTTTGGAGTGTGTAGTGAAGTTAGATGGGAGCAGAGTGAGGAAGGTATTAATAATGAACCTACTTTTTCCCATCACGAGGTCAGAAGAATTATTCATATTCTATTTTCAAATAAATAACATTTTGATCATTCCCCTTTCCTTCCTTATGTAATTTATTTGCATGCAAGAAACCCAGACCAGTCCCAGATCTCCATTCTGAATTAAAAACCTTGTACTTCTTGAAAATGTAGATAATAAAAATAAGTTTCTGTAACTAGTTGAAACATATAGTTTTGCCAGTTTTTCTGCAATTTTCCCTTTCTCCTCCTTTATTAAATTTCAGTCTGTTCATGTTGTAACATCCATGTCTAGGCTATCACTCTGAGAAAAAAAAATACTACAGTATTTTACTGATGCTGAGAGGAAAAATATCTGGAAAGAGATACAATTTCAGATACTATTTTGCTGTGATTTCACTATTTTTTCACGTATTATCTGGATGAAACATCCACATGAAAGGCTGACACTAATGTCAGAAATATCACTAACTATGTCAAGTCTAGTCAAAAGGAAGAGAAGAGAAATGAAAAGAACTTTGGCTTCCTGGGTTGAGTGTTACTATCCTTTGTCGGGTACATCATATATGTTAACCATTCATTAGTCAACAATTCAGGATTTGAAGAAAGCAGTTTTAAAAAATTGTGTTCAGGATATTTCTGGAAATGAGACTACATGGGAATAATTTTCCTTTAGGAAAAAAAATAGAACCTTTTATGTATTTTAATTTCACCTCTAGTAAAAGAAAAAGTATGAAAATAATGGCAATGAATTTTATCTCTATTCTCTTACCGTATCCTAGAAACAGGTCTAAATTGTCAAAATAAAATAGAATAATCGATTCTCCTCAGAACTTAGACTAAAGCAGCTATTTGGGAAATAAATAGCCTGACTGCCCACTTAAGAAAGTCAGTTAGACAACTTTATAACCAGATTCCATGTTTTCTTTTATTCTGTTCAGTCATCAGAGGATATGTTGAGGTAAAAAGTACTTTGTGACTATTTATTGAAGTAAAATGAGTAAAATACTAAATATACGTATGGGGCTCTTGATATTTCTAAACTATACTCATTCCTATGTGAATTAAGTCAATATATTTTACAATATCAGGCACTAAGTTAAATACCTGTAAACCTGAATTTTATGGGGTGCTCACCTCTTCCTCCTTCCTTATTTACACACTGAAGGGGAAAGTTTGGATATGTATCAAGAACACGAAAAATTCATTTTAAGGGCCTGTCTTCTAGAGGGATAAATAAACTGGCAGAAGTTCAATTCTTCCACACGATGTTCTCATCTTTTTAACATTTCATTGAGCCACTGTGGAAGGAACCTAGGGCTGTACATGAACTGGATGTTCCTTCTGCCTTTGTGATGGGTCAAAACACAACTCAGGTAGGCTCTCAGCAAAGAAAAAAAACACATAGCCAAGGTACTTCATGTCTGCTTATGATGATAAAGATAGCAATAGTACCAGTGATCTTAACATTTCCTATTAATTGCTTACTATGTAGAGTTGCAGCATGTAGCACAATGTATGCATTACTTCATTTAATTCTCATCACATCCTTATGACATAACTACTGTTATAGATCACAAAAAGAGAAACTGAGGTTTAGTGAAGTGAGGGGTTCAAATCCACTTTTAAACTTAAGTGTAAACAAAAGCTATCCATGAGTTTATGCTTGCCTAACCTAGTATACCTATAAAAAAGATCATTTATAAATACATAGGTGAAGGCCCTTAAAATGATCCTCAGAAATAAAGATTTTATCTATAATAGGAAGTTGATGGGTGTGGTAGGTTAGAGCATGTCCACAAATTCTTTGATATTCCTGTGAAGGTTAATTTTATGTGTCAACTTTACTAGCCTAAAGTATGACCAGATAGTTGGTAAAACATTTCTGGATATGCCTGTGAGCATTTCTGGAAGAGATTAGTATTTAAATCTGTAAACTGACTTATGAAGATCACTTTTACCAATGCAAGTGGACATCATCCAATTTGATGAGATCTTGAATAGATTCAAAAGGTGGAGGAAGGATGAATTTGCTCTCTGCTTTGAGCTGAGACTTGGGACATCCATTTTCTGTCCTTGGATATTAGCACTCCTGGTTCTCAGGCCTCCAAGGGATCTGGACTCAGTCATACCACCTGCTTTTCTGGTTCTCCAGCTTGAAGATGGCAGGTCTTGGGACTTCTGAGCCTCCATTATCGTGTGAGCCAATTCTTATAATAAAAAAATCTCTCTCTGTGTGTATGTATACATACATATAGATAGATAGATAGACAGACAGACAGACAGAGATAGATAGATTGATCGATCGATCGATCCCCATATATTCTATTGGTATTATTTCTCTGGAGAATCCTAATTAATACAACTTCCTACATAGTTAGACTCAAATCTGCCCCACTCTACCCCATTTAAGTGTGTGAGTTGGACTTAACGACTGTCTTCCAATGAAAGTAAGATGATGTCTCTGGCACTAGGTAAAGTCATAGCAGCTTCCACCTTGGTCTTTCTCTTATATCATTCACTCTGGGGAAAGCCAGCTGCCATGTAATACGGATACTTTTGCAGCTCTATTGGCCGAGCCACACAACCAAGAACTGAAGCTTCCTGCTACTGCCATGTAAATGAGCCATCTTGAAAACTTCTGTTAACTGAATCCCAGACTGATCTGTTGACTTCAACATTCTTAGAGACCCAGAACAGAGCCATCCATCTATACAAATCCTGAATTACTAATCCATACAAAACATGATGATATAATGAATTTTTTTAAGTTACTGTGTTTTGGAGTAATTTGTTATAAAGCAGTATTAACCAATAAAGTGGGGATTATGAATTTTGGATCCAGCTCCTTTAAAAAAAATAACAAGCAGAAGAAGCTTTTAAAATATAATAAATAATGACCAAAGTCTCCCTTTTAAGAGTTCCTGTTGTAAAGGAGTGTAAATAAAACACTAGATTTAATCTAATGTGACAGACTGCCTTCTAGGAAAAGGTAAACAGGTTAGGAAAATAGTCATGTGCAAGATATTTCACCTGGGGGATTAGGTAAGGTTTCATCAGAGAAGTAACATGAAAATATATTTAAATCAACTATTTAACTTCTCTGAACAAGATTTATATCTGCTTCAGAGAAAAGAAATGTAAGATAACTGACTCTATTAAGTGCCTGAAATGAAATTTAAGTAGAAATTGTCAGAGGCAAACATTTGTTTCTACTAAATGAAGCTCAAATGAAATTTAACATGTGTGCTAAGAAAAACTGCCTAATGTGTAATAAATCTGCATTTAAATATTTTTGTATAAATCACATTCCTAGGCAATCCTTCTGAATTAACTTTTTTTTATCTTGAGTTACTTACATGTAAGATAAGATTTCTCTCAAAAAATATTTCTTCAAATAAGTCTTCCAATTTGCCCTTCTAACTAATTAATTCTCTAATTAATTAATAAGGATATCGAGTCACCTCTGGACTAGGATTTGGTATTCATAAATTTAAGCCTTTTCTACCTTTGATTCTAGCAATTCCTGTGATTTGACATTAGTAATAATGTGACTGTTAAGCAGCAGTCTAACATTAAAGTGATCTTTAGTCAGTTTCACATAATTTAACTGACTTGTTGATTCAAAAATAATTAAATCTTAGTTCTGCTCCAAATGCTGTAATTTCTATATAGGTTATCATTTTAAAGTTAAACAAAAAGAATAGACTGAATGAACACCAAGCATTCTCTCTTATGAACATACTCATGATGTCTCCTGTACATTTCATGAAGTCACTGTAGCCAGGAGCCAAAAGTAGCAAATGAGGAAACAAAACAAAATATCAATAATAGCAATGAGAACAGCTAAAGGCCAAATTCTCTGAAGACAGAAAAAGATCAGCACCATTTAGAATACATTTGAGGAACCAACATGGCCTTGTTTGTTTGTTATTGTTTATTTATTTGTTTGTTTTAGGGGAATAACAATGGAATTTAGAGTCAGATAAAGGAAATTTGAGTCATGACTAAGTTTCTTTATTAAATATGTGAACTAGTAGTTTAAGGCACCTCTGAGTCTCCATTTCCTCATAAATAAAATGAAAAGAGTAACAATTCCTCACAGTTGGTATTGATATTGATTTTAATTACCTGAAAATATAAGCAGAGTGTGAGGCATTACAGTAATGTTAGTTCCTATTTTCCTCTAGTCTGTGAGGCTTTTGGGTTCATGTATGAAGACAAACGTGTCTTTACTCCCAGCACTCATCACAATGACTGTGGAATAGAAGAGTGGCTTTAAATCTGTGATCAATGACATTAAAAATAAGACTTTGGTTTCAATTTCTAAACCCTTTCTTATAAGTACATGGGTTTATATCTCTCCAACTAATGATATTAAGAAAAGAATTATTTCTTATATAAACTGTGGATGTAAATTAAACACTAGAAAATTTCAGATAATATATTTCATGCTTCTACTTCTAATGCTTCTTTTCTTATCCATTTCCCTTGAGAAATACTATCATATAGTCTGACATGGTTAAAATGTAATAAAAAATAAGAAACATAACTATAAAGCTAACATACTCAAATGCATGGAGCAGATTAAGGTGTATATTCATCTAAGGGTAGGCCAACAAGGGAAAAGAGTATACAGAGATTAGGGTAAACACAACTGATCAGGACAACAATAAATACAAGGCGGTTAGGAGAGCTTTCCCCATTGTTGGTACACGGGGTATGGTGTTAAGAAGTCTAAGATTACCAATACTTGTAAACACAAAAGGGCATACATTAGTACTTACAGGAGGGTCTATCAATAGCATATATTATAAGCCAAAACACTTTGGAAATTTCTGGTAACATTGAAGCTAATCACTTTTATTATTTAATGAAGTCCCCAATTTAAAGAATTACTTCAGATATTTGGAAAGGAAGGTATCTGAACCAATCTGTCTAACTTAATTGGCTTATTATCAGATTCTGGTATCTAAAATGAATAAAGAATTTAAAACAAAGAACAGCATCTGAATAATGGTGTCTAAATAAGGCATATTTTAAGTCAGTATTTATTTTAAATGTCTATATGTTGATGTTCCAATTCTAGCAGGATCTTTTGATAAGGCTTTCCCCATCCTATGTTTTACTATATGAGTGATATTTGGTTCTATTAAAAAACCACAAAATGTTGGGGTGAATGTATCTTTTCAAATTAGAGTCTTCTCCGTATATATGCCCAGGAGTGGGATTACTGGATTATATGGTAAGTATATTTATAGTTTTTTAAGAAATTCTCATATGTTTTCCATAATGGCTACACCAAACTACATTCCCACCAACAGTGTAGGAGGGTTCCCTTTTCTCCACACTTTCTCCAGCATTTATCACTTGTAGATTTTTTTAATGATGGCCATTCTGACTGGTGTGAGGTGATACTTCACTGTAGTTTTAATTTGCATCTCTGATAATTAGCAATATTGAGCATGTTTTCATAGCAGCACTATTTACAATAACCAAGACATGGAAGCAACCTAAATGTCCATTGACAGATGAAAGGGTAAAGAAATTGTGGTATAATTATACAATGGAATATTATTTAGCCATACAAAATAAAATAATGCTATCTGCAGCAACATGGATGGACTTGGAGATTGTCATACTAAGTGAAATAATCCAGAAAGAGAAACACAAAAACTACATGGTATCACTTATATATGGAATCTTAAAAAAGGACACAAATGAACTTATTTACAAAACAGAAACAGATTCACAGAAATAGAAAACAAGTTCATGATTATGAGGGGGTGGGGACTGAGTGGGCAGAGGGATAAATTAGGAGTTTGGGATTCACAGATACTAACTACGATATATAAAATAGATAAACAACAACGTCCTACTGTATAGCACAGGGAATTATATTCAATATCTTTTAGCCTATACTAAAAAAGAATATGAAAAAAATATATATATAAATGAATCACTATGCTGTACACCAGAAATTAACAGAACACTGCAAACTGACTACGCTTCAATAAAAACAAAAAGCAAACAAATAGGCAAACACACTTTAGGACATTAGGGTTTCACAAAGGATACTTTAATAAGTCCTTAAAATTGCGCATTTAAGACATATCACTGTTTCTGCATCTTCATAAGGATTTTGACTCTGGTCTTGACATTTAAATCTAGGGA